TCTTTATTTTTGCTCACTTGTGTTATTTTTTTTATTTTTTTTATTTTATTTTATTTTTTATTTTTTTTTCGTATAGTTTCTGCTTAACTATTAATATTATAAATTATATAATTAGTATTTACACATACAAGATATATCATATTTGAATATGTAGAATAAGCAATAGGGAACGGTGATGGTGAGGAAGCAACAATAATAAGTAATATGGTTTACTTTAATTAATACACATTGTATGATAAATATATGGACTCTTCCCACAAGCATCCCAGGCACATGCCTTTTTTAATGCACAACACCTCACGCAGATATTTCTCTTTTTAATACACCACACAATCACAGACAAACTATTGAGGAAAGCTGTCGGAAGAGTGCCAGTAATAATGCTACTGTTAAGGACGCTAGTATGGTCATAATTATTATCTTCATCATCACCACTGTCGCTATTGCTGTTGTTTTCTTCTTTTTTTCTGTTGTTGTCATTGTGTGTTTTTTTTTTTTTTTTTTCCCTTTCCCATCTTAAGTAACTTATAGTACACCATACCACCAATTCCCATCTATATGCTTGGCGCAGAATCAGGTTTTGTATATATATATATATATTTTAATTGTCTTTGTTTTTTTTTGTTTTTTGTTTTTTCTATTATAAAAATATAAAGTAAATAATAAGTAACACACAGACACACACACACACACACACACACACACACACACACACAGACGCACACGCACAAACATGGAAGACCCAAAAAGTGTCATTTTCGAAGCCTACACCAAAAGGGACATGAGGAAGCAACCTCTGAGGTGAACGCCCCTAGAATCTGGAACAGTCTTCCTTAAGTTGTACAGACTCTAGCCTCGTTTGAATCCACGCTGAAAACTATCGTAATTAGCTATGCGTTTTTGAGTTAATACATAATTATATATGTATAACATGTTTTTGTACCGAGTTCTCATTAGGAGTGCTTTTTATTATGTGCTTGTTTTACCTCATACGCTTTATTATGTCTGTAAATGGCGTATGATTTCATGTCTTTGTAAAGCACTTTGGGTGGCACTGCATGAATTGTGGTTTTAAAATAAACATGATTGATTGATTAAAGATCTCCTAAAGCCTTCTTCACTGTAGCCTACAGCTGAGGATGTAAATGAGAACCGCTAACTTTGACATCTTTGGAATGTCCAGTTTTTCATACTTAAAACGTATTAAATCGCTCGCTCAAACACAAGTAGACTAAAGAGAGACACACACAACACAAAGTGCATCAGGGTCAGAGGATGCTAGCTTGATGCAGGCATGACAACCGCTTCATAAATTATTACCGTGCCTTGAAAAAGTCTTCATACACCAAGAACTTTTCCACACATTTTGGATTCATTACGACAATTTATGTGAAAGACCAACTAGGGATGTAAATCGGCGACCGGTTAACCGGTGGTTGACCGTCACAGCGTTAACCGGTCAAAGCTGTCGGTTAAAAAAGAGAAAAAGGGGAGAGGGGAGGTCTCTTAATAACGCTATTTTAAGCCCTATTTGCACGGTGTGACGAGTGGGTCTGTATCTAGCTGTGTGCGCCAATGTAACAGTAAACTCTGGGCCGACTCTCACGCCGCACGAGCCACATATGCACACACGCATCCGTGCACGCACACACACACACACACACTTTCCCCCTCTCCATACGTAACATCCACACACATCATCTCTCCCCTCTGTTACCGTCAAAGTTGCACACTGGCGCGGGTCAGAACTACATTGGAGCTTACATTTACACACACACACATACATACACACACACATACATACACACACACATACCGGTCTGTCGCGCTCCTCTGTGTCACGGAGCCCAAAGGATTCGCGCAGATACGCGGCTTCAGTCAAACCACATGGAACATGTTTGTGTTTATGGTCCTCGGGATCAGCTCCACACACATCACTTGTATTTAAACTTTTGTGAAGACCTGTGAGACGCGGCTCGTCACTCGCTGCTCTGACCATGTGAACGAGCCGTCGTTTGCTGCTAGAAAGTTTTGGTATTAACCCGCAGCACAGCAGAATGGGAAGATTAAAAAAGCAGTTCTCTGTGCGCAAAGGTGCCGGAGCTGTTGCGGGTTTGGGCGCCGCTGTCTCAACTCTGATCCAGTAGAACGCAGAGCTGCACTTATGAAAAGTACGCGGCTCGAAATGGCTGTTATTTCAAAGAACGTGGACTATTTTAAACTACGCGGTTAACCGGTTTCAACCGGTTAATGAGGCTCGGTGGTCGGTCATGAAAATTCATAGTTTTTTACATCCCTAAGACCAACACAAAGTCACACATAGAAGGGGCGATGAGCAGTGTTCTTTTCACCTGGGGGAAGCTCCTCTAGACTAACCATGGGCCTCGTGTCTGCATCTGTGATCAGTGTTGTCCTTGTTCGAGCTGTGAGTTTTCGAAGACAGACAAGTCATGGTAGATTTGCAGTCGCGCCATACTCTTTCCATTCCCAGATGAATGATTAAAACAAGGGTCTGTTCAAAGCTCGGGAAATCATGGTGTTGTTTAGTGACCAATGCACTCTTCACTCACAATCATAACAACATACAGTATGTAGCTCTGAACATTACACAGAGAAGATTCAACTCAGGTGGGCCCTGTTCAATTTTTAAGGCAAGATGTGAGCATTTAGCAGTCATTTCTCAGAGTGCTATTTTACTGTAGGATTAGTTAGAAAATGAAAGAAGACAGAATGGACAATTCAGTTGGATGAATGGCTAGCTGTTTTAGGTCAATAACTTGCTTATTATATTCAACAGAGCATCTACTATTGGGCCAAATTTGAAAGAGTTTGTACATTTGGTAGGACAGAAAAAGATCCAGCCTCGGTCAGATGAGTGCAACAAACATTTGGATCTTATTTTGATCTACACGAGGATAAACAACAAGTTGTCAAACCCAGAGAAACAGCAATCCTACAAATAACGCTTAAACGCTAAAGTCACCAATGCAAGGAGAGAATGCAGACTTCTGTCCAGATCTACGGCCTACAAGAGATAATTAAATTAAATTAAATATTATTAAATTATCAACAAAACAGAATTGTTTCAAAAGCAATTTATTAATTTGTCGTGGATGGATCGCAATCTCAACTTGCATTAAAAATCGACAAATACCACTAATGTGGCAGTAGCAGTGTGATACAAATACACTTATTTGTCATATCAGTCATTTAATTTTGTTTTCAATACATATTTAATTTGTTTGTTTATAGAACGGCAAATCGAGATTGAAGATCCTGTGAAGTACAATGGTTCACTTGGGAAAATGACTTTGATCTAAAGAGTAGCATGTATGCCTTTTATCTAAAGCAAATATTTGGAAATAAAAAAAAAAAAGCTGAATAATCGCATATAATCAAATGTCACAAATATCAAGGTAATCATGCACCTACATTTGCTAATTATTCTAAAAGCAGTTCATATTAAAACATTAATAATTGTAGCCTGGAGCCCAAGTCCTAGTTTAGACCAGCTTGCAAGTACAATCAAGTCTGTTCTCCAGAGAGTATCAAAAGGTTCTGCACAGAAGATGATAATGTGACTTCTAGATCAGAGCTTTTTGTCTTTAAATCATGTCATATGCATTTTAGTCTACGGCAAGATATTACTTCTACTACCAACTATCGCATCACACAAGCAAAGGGTCAACCAGCTTTTATTGCCGTTATCAACCAGTGTACGTTTTATTATCACTGTAATAAACTTTCAACGAGACCAAAACACACAACACAAACAAGTTCACTACGGGCACATAACTTACTTGTAGACTTAATCTGAACATGTAATATTATGTTTATATCTACTACGAACTAGGTCAAAGTTAGTGTCAGCACGAGAATTTGACCAATTTTTCCTATGCAACTCCGGAAACCTGTCAGGAGCAGGACAGCCTTGCATGGAAGACTTTAAAGTTTTGGAATATGGGGGGAACCGGAAAGCCTGGAGGAAACCCACCCAGCCACCATACCAGCTATATGTGAAATTATCATTGGACCTTCACACCAACTATTGCAAACAGGAGTCAACTAGATACAGATACACACAGCAACATTTAACCTTGGAGGGATACTGACCAGACTTGGATGGAATGGCTGGAGGTGGCCACAAGAACTTCTGGGTTCAATTGGATTAATAATAATTAATCTGTATAAAAAGATGATTATGGCTAATTTCAATAACAGACATGGTGTACTGGAACCATCTGCATACGTTCTTGGTTATATAGTTCGGCAGCAAAACCAGGAGCTAAGACTTTTCCTGAAGTGGACCTCTCACAATATTTAATAATTGATGGAAGTTGCAATATATTTTGGACACAGCATAGTCTGGACATTGCCTTTATAATCGCTGGAAGATTTTCATAATACAATAAAAATCTTCTCTTTATTAATTTAATCTATTATAAAGTCAGTCTTTTTCAAAACTGGGATTTTTCTGCTATAGTGAAATGATCATCTCTGTTGAATAGTTTCTTTATTACAGTTTATTTTATGGTATATGAAAGGTCTTTTTGACTGTGGAAAGTATTTTTGTTTATAATTGTGTTACTGGCCAACTACAGGGCATTAATCATGATTATGATTGCTGGCTGAACTTGACAGCTCCATTCATCGTTTCAAAATCATTAGCTTACTTTGTGGACTGTTTATGCTGTATATCAGACTGTAAAATGCCCAGGACTAAAAGGAAATATTAGGCATGTGATCCAGGTTATGAATGTGAAACTACTGCAGTCTACAGATAGCAGCACAGAGCAGAGAGGAGAGCAGACTGGAGGAGCAAGTGCCCTGGATCATGTTGTCTGACCACCTGCACCTCACACTACAGCCCGGTAAAGGGAAGCTCGAGTCCAGGCACATCGCTGCGGTGTGTGGTGGTGTGTGCAGGCCGAGCACAGAGCCTCTCAGGCGGCTTTGTGCGGCGTGTGCCCGCGGTAGTGTCCCATGCCCGGGGTACGCACCTGAAGCGCCCTCCGCAGTGCTGGCACTGGTCGCCCACCCAGCCGGGAAAGCACACGCAGCCGCCGGTGCTGGGGTTGCACAGTCCGTTCACACACGGTTTGTCGCAGTCTTTGGCCTCCGGGAGCGCGGGCAGCGCGGACAGCAGCCCCACGGAGCCGAGCAGCACCGCGGCACACAGCAGCACTGAGGCCCGCCACATCCTCCACTAAAGATGGCTGCTGTAGCTCCACGGACGCGGGGACGCGGGCAGGCGCGGGCGAGGCTCGGAGGGCAGTGTCCCGGGACCAGTGAGGTTTTGCTCGGTCTGGTTCAGTCCTAGGTTCTGGCTGTGGGGCAGGGATCGCTGGGTTTACATCTTCTCAGCGGCTGTTTCCTGCGCCGCACCGAGCCGCATATTGACATCCAGAAGTGACGTGCTGCCGACGGAAATGCGCAACCGCGAGACACGGACGCACGCGCGGGCCTTTAAACCCACAGCCTATCACCGTGAAGCGGCCAGCGGCCAGTCCTGCAGACTGTGGTCCTCCCATGGGGGTCCTACGCTGGACACAAGCAGACAACACTGCTGCTCACTTGTTTTACAAACTCATGCAATGGCTCTGAATGCCTCTAATGGGATATTATGTATGACAAGTGAAGTGAAAAAATATTTGGTACCTTGGTTTTTGCGAGATTCCCAAACAGAAACCTGAATCATAAACGTGAGCTCAAAGTGGTTTCCCCATCAACTTCAATTGCCATTTTACAATAGTGTTTCACTCAATTCTCTACGTAATTAATGGTTAATTAATGCATGTATTGAGGTATATTCTCCCACCTGCATGCTTCTTGTATAATTGTAATGACCAACCTTGTAAAGGTTATACACATAGAACATATGGTGCATGTTTTGTGTAAAGATTATGAAAGCAGTAGTTTATACCATAGACTTAAGGTTAACACACAGTATATACACACACAGTGAAATATAAAAGGGGTTATCATTTTATAAAGCAAAATATTTAAAAAAACACACAAATGTTATAGAACAGTTTATTAAATTTGGACTTGTATGAAGTCATCAATCATCCAACACACTTCATTGTGTGAAGTGCATTCATCATAACACCAACCCAAAGGATTGATCGCGGCTCAAGAACAAATAAAGAAAATAGACATATTTACAATAGAACACAACTACGGGCTTTGTGAACAAGTGACACCAAGACGACTTGACCAGACGCAGGAGAGTGAAGTCAGAAAAACATGTTATAATGAAGACTTTTAAATGGGCCAAGGAGAGAATTTCACACTGTTGTCAAATATAAGAGGTCAAAATGGAAGTTTCATATGTTTCTAAACAACAAATATTCTAAATAGGTTTTGACTATATATTTCAGAAAACGTATGCATTAGTTTGTCGGTTGCATCAGATAACACACAACAAATGAACTTTCCGATTCTTTTTTACCCTCACCAAAATACCATTAAATACATCTGGTCTTTTGTAACTTTGTTAATGACCAGTCACTTTGATTCAAGAGTAATCAATTAGAGATTTTGTAGCTTTCTTTCCACTTTGGATAACTGCAGTTTTTTTTAACTGCTCATGCCATTTTGCAAAGTATGAGCAAAACATTCACTTGTTTTACAATTTGTCCAAACATCAGCAGGTGCCAAAGTGAAGGGCTATTCACTGGTACACTTGCAGTCTGTACGTCTCATCAGAACAGTAATAACATTTTCCAAAATACAAATTCACATTATGTACTTTACCCAAACAAAAGACTTCAATGATTGGACTCCATGAAACATACCCGAGTTGAGCGTATTCAAAAACCCTGAATAATAAATCAATTGTACCAAAATATTCCTTACAAAAGTACAATCAGTGAATAAAAGTACATTTGTGAGAAGTTACAAACAGGCCTCTATCCAAGAGTCCTTTGTACAAAACAACGCTCAAATGTGAAAGCAGGTCCGCGTCTGCTGTAGACAAAGAGGCAAAAACAGTAAAAATGCCTCAAATTAAAATGTTCTGAAAAGTGTACTACATTGTGTTGTGGAATAAATGATGAGTAGATGTATAAAGGATGTGATGTGTGTTGAAGTGGGGTTGTATAGAATCACAGTCACCAACAAACTGCTTTTCAACTTGGCTATTGGCAACCAGTGCTTCGTACAACCCCACTTGACAACGTTCTTCAGACTAGACTGAGTGAGTGAAGTGAATCTACAGCAGTAAAGTACACTTGTCTGTCTCTCGAATGGCACTCTGGTCCTGCAGGTTTCCTCTGGCTCCTTCATCAAAAAACACTGAATTAAAAAACGTCATGACTTCAAAACCCCCGGGAGGCGCTGCGACATTCAACTCATCCGTTTAATGGATTTAAATTGTCCCGTTTTATCTGCTACAAAAATCAAACTATCTTACACTTCTGAGCAGGGGGGAAACCCATTTACAAGCATATCTATGTACAGCAATGAAGGGAAAAAAAATGTCAACAAAACTATATACAGGTTTTCATTCTGTACAAAGATCCAAAAAGGAGGTGTTTGTGAATGATTGAACACCTCGAAAAGTTCCAACGTTGTCCTTATTAATGGCTTTACAAATGGCTCTCCTTATTAATCAAATCATGCAAAAAAAGTTGTCCAAGGAAAGGCAAACGATGACACAATTTCAAGGTTAGAAAAATAAGAAATAGGTTTTGGTCTCCCATCAGGCATTGCAGGTGTAGCTCACAGCTTTAGTGCCAGTAATGTTGCTCTTTGTTTGTCTTTAGTGTCACTAGTTTGAGATGGTCCCAGCGTCAAGGCCCCGCAACAGGTTCCTGAGGTTTTTTTTTGGCTTTTGGGGGATGGACACTGGCTGGATGTTTGTGAGAGCGAGCAGTGGATTTGTCATTTGTCTGGGATCAAACCATAATTTCAAAAGTGAAATTAAGAGTAAGTAGCATAGTAAGTACTGTCTCTTCTGGAGTATCATAGCCATCTGAGTGATAATGACAATTAAAAAATCACTTTGGGCAAATGTCGTCAGCTTTGAAAATACTAATATGAGGGTGAAGATAGCTCAAACTGCGATGACTGTACATCTGGGAAAAACAACATTGTCTTCATAAAATCTGATGCCATTTTAGTTCTGCCGCGTAGACCAAGCAATATTGTCATGCAAAAATATTTAAGGCATGTTCGTATACATCTATGTACATTTTTAAATTCAAGCAAAATAGATTGTCTGCCTTTTTTAAGCTGAAAGACCTGCTACTATTGCATTTAGCGCGTTGCAAAGCTATGTGGAAATTGTGCTCAACAAATAAATTAGCCGAGAAAGATTGCAAATGGCATCCACGAGAAGAGACAGACTTATTTTTTGCTAGATGCATCAATGACGAGCCTCAGGATGGGAAAAATACAGACTGATCAGATGGTTTGGAGGTATTCAGTGTTCATTATGTTGCCTTGATCACACTTGTTTGTTGTAGAGAGGGCTACAGTCAACACGGCCCATCTGTTCTCTTAAAATATCCTTGAGGAATAAAACGCTCTTGCCAAGTCTGCTGGATACTTTTCAATCGAGCAGAAAAATATTCATTGCATGTGTGTAACAGGAGGTGAGCCCAGTGACTCATGAGGAAGAGGAGATCTGTCTCGCGGGACGTCCCATGGAGGAGGCGCTGTAGGTGCGTGAGCGCTGCCGGACGGCCAGACGACAGGGCAGCTCCAGCTCCTCAAACAGAGGCATCCCGGTGATGTCTGCAGCCTCCGGACGCTCGGCGGGGCTCAGGGACAGCATGCTACGCACCATGTTCAGCTGAGGACACAACACATACAGACGGTCACTCTGATGAATGCAGATAGTTTGTGGACTCAATGTAGACACATGGGCCGAATGACTAACTCAGTAGCAGATCTTAGTGAAGACAAGTTGTGCTTAAAGTTTGGTCCTTAAAAGCAGAGCAATTAAACATTATTTTAGATATTATTGTTTGTCTGTGGAGGGGAAACAATAAGAGTTCTATTCACTGCTTGAACTGTTCTTCTGCCAAATTTTAATCTGGTCCTCCTTTAAAACCATTTGAAAGTAATGAAGACCAACAACAAACATAATGGTGGTGAAAGCTCTGCTCAATAATAGTTGGATTAATGCAGATCATGCAGATCGTCCCTACAGTAAGACCTGTGGCACACATGACTCCAGTCTATAAATAGCTGAGCCCACAGTGAGTGAGTGGGATGCGGGCGTTTCCAGAGGGAATCCTGATTATGCTCCAGGATTATGTTAATCCCATTAAGAGAACAAACAAGTGAACACTTCACCATCGAATACAAGAAACTGTTGATATTCAACATGTGTATGTGTAATATATCTATCATAACTACATATCAGAAACCAAAATGTTAATTATATAGATAAATGTAAACAGAAGTAATCAAGAAAATCAAGAAAAAGACGATGCACCCACAACTTTATCACAACATCATTGATCAAGTACCAATGGGTTTCCAGCTGGGTGACAATGGTGCTTTCCATAGCAACTAAGCAATTAAAATCAGAATATCTCTTTTCAAAGTTTCAAACCTCCCTATAGGGATTTAGCAAGGCAATTTATTCACTCAAACAGAAAAGATGCTGATTGTCACCTGAGAAACTGTTAAAACAAATGTATTGGATCACTGCTTTTGTTCAGACAAGGCCAAATATGATTTGTACATGTTGACCTATATTCTGGAGACACAAAAGGTGTAGTTTTTTAAAACATTTTTTTTTATTTTTGTTAGGAAAAGGATCACAATATTACAAAGATGTATATCCGTCATTTGTTTAGTAGTCCTTCTCACATTTTAGTAATAGTGTAATTAATATAAATAATCTAGCGTGATTGTATCTACTTTTGTCCATATCCCATCGTCCTCAACTTCTTCCGCTCTATTACTTTGCATTGGTAGCTGTATAAACAAAATAATGTAATGACACTGCTGAGATGCAGTGGTGGGTCATATACACTAGATGGCAACAGAGAGCCACTCACCTCCTGGACGTTGTTTTTGGAGAAGACCTCAGGGAAGCGCAGAGCTCTCACCTCCGTCAGCGTCTGGAGAGAAGCAGTAAACACCTTGAGCGCAGCTAATCAGGGCTTTGTTCACAGACAAAAGAGCCTCACTCAAAACCTCCAAAACGCTATTATTTAAGATGGAGATTATTGAAATGGAAATCTTGTCTAAAGCTGCCTCAACAGACCCAGCTCACATAATTGGATCATTAACAAAGTAATAAATGAGATAAACTGCTTTTAGACGAGACAATGCTTTGAACAAACACGGAACAAGATGATTTTACACCTGTGACCTGCTAAGAAGTTTATTAAAAACAATATTTCACTACAATTTCAAAAGGGCATAAAAGGCTAATAAAAAAATAATTGAATAGGGTTGATTTGGTCATTACTGGATTGCTTTTTTCTTTCATAAATACTCTGTACAAAACGCTTATTCAGCCTCAGCTCTGGCATCTGTTGTAATGAATGAAAGTGAATGAATGAGATGAGGTCATGAGATTCAGGCAGTGGTGACTCACCCGGACCCTCTCCATCTGCGTCCTGAATGCATACAGCAGCTCAAACAGGATCAGGCCCAGAGAGTAGATGTCCACTTTGTGAGAGTACGAGTTTCCAGAGAGCTGTGAAATTAGTGCACAAGTCAGTTTGAAGTTTCCATGTTACTAGTAAAATATGTAGGCAATACATCAAGATAATTGCTGCCTAGTGTCTCAAGGATGGCACAAAAGCAGTGAATAATGTCTACACTGAATGAGTGACAAACGCATCTTTGCTAATTGACCTTTTTTCTGCATCGTTCATCCTCCAAATTGACAAAGTAGAAACTATAATGCCATTACATGCCATTTATTTATTATGCATTCAACAGGTTACAGTGAGATTTATCTACTCAGGAATTGGGCTCGTTCACACTAATGGGTAAAAAGTGTGACAAAATTCCATCCATCCATCCATTTTCTACCCTTTAATCAATTTCTGGGTCAGGGGGGTGGCAATCAGAGATGCCACCCAAGTCTCATAGCACCAGCCCCTCACTGACCCTCTGCAGGTGGTGAGTCCACAGGAGGACGGCTGCTCTCTGAGTGTGAGCATAGCCTTGATCTTTCAGTGGGGGCTTTGGGCAAAGTGGGGTTAAGTGTCTTGCCCAAGGACACAATGACAGCAGTCATCAGTGGGAGTCGGTGGAGAAGGTGTAGAGGTGGGAATTGAACCCACAACCTTCAGGCCTGAAGGCCAATGCTCTACCAACTGAGCTACTGTCACCCTACTGACAAAATTATCAATTATTATTTAAATCATCAGGACATATATTTTTCATTTATCCAAATACCTCCTCAGTCAATTAGTAGTTGCTAGAAAATTACCGTTTTATACATTAGTCAAATGTCCTATAGTAGCTGTATTTGTGTAACGGACGTGATCCTTTGACAGAATGAGCTGCAGAAGTTTGTTACATATTTTCAGAAGTCCACATCTGATTAAAAGATTCTTATTTTACACAGAGTAGAAACTAAGTGATTACTTTCATATAGTAAACCAATTAAATGTGAAACCAGAAAATATTTTCTCAAGTTTAATTGTTAGAAAAAATTGACAGAAACCATCACATGCGTTACACATTTTTCAAGGGTCATTTGATTTTGTATTGAAAATGTTTACGAAATGATTGCTTTTTAAATTAAGTGATTTACTGATGTTATGTTAGCCATGTTAACCTTTTATTTTCTATGTAACACAGTAGAATGATCAAATCAGAGGCTGATCTTGTCTTTTAAAAATTGCGCCAAAATGCATTTGTTAATCTTCTCTTTTGATTTTATTCACAATATCTCTTTGATATGATAGTCATTTCAGTTTTTTAGTTATAACCTTTTTTAAGTCCAGATACTATAATGACACTTTACTGTGAACACACCAGCTGCTCGTCTCAATGTGGAGAAGTTATTGTTTTACCAAAAAAGTTCCCCTGGTTTCAAATTGGTGGATAAACTCAGACCCTTCTCCATAATGGCATAAAATAGTAAAACATGTCAAAGTCAGATATGCTCTAAAACTACAATGTATCCCAGTGTAATGAAATACATCTACATGATAAGAGTGTTGTTGTGTCTGACCTGCTCTGGGCTCATGTAGAGCTTGGTGCCGACCTGCCCCGTGTGGCGGGTTAGAAGTGGTGCAGGCGTCAAGGCGCTGGGCTCGTCCTCGTCCTCCTCCTGGTCCATCGCCGTCACCAAACCGAAGTCTCCCACCTTCACCACGTCGTCCATCGTGAAGAAGATGTTTGATGGCTGAGGGGAGGAAGAGGCAAACACTTAGCCACATGTGAAGGGTTTTCTCTCCTGCTTACTTGTGCAAACTTAATATAGCTTTGTAAAAAATAAAAAAAATAAAAATCAATTTGGGCTGGTGAGGCAATCTTTATGTGACATTTCATTTAACGTGAGTAAGAAGAAAACTTTATGACACAAATCTTTTTTTCACCTTAAAAAGTGTTTAATTGCATACATTTTGGAATTGCAGTCAAATTGAAAAGTATTACTTACTCAAAAGTATTGTGACAAATGTGAAAGGCATTCATGTTCTGCCCAAATAAATGTTTTGGATATTAGGATTCAGCTTATTTAAAACTATATGTAGCTCAATTGTCATTTGATATATTATCCACTTCAAGAACAGACTACATGTAAGACTTGTCTGCTTGGCCTGATAATAAATCTTAACGGCAGTAAAAATCAATAAATCGCCCTTCCTGGGTCTTATGTCGGACATATGTAATCTTATAATTGTCCAGATATAAAACAGAGCAAACATAAATCAGGTGAATGTTACATCGTGCAGTCAGCATTAGAGCTCCCTCTAAGCACACAGCAGAAGATCATATAATTGATGAATGGTTGGTTTCTGGGCTCGATGCTGCCCCCTGCCTGTGTGTGTGCGCTTACCTTGAGGTCCCTGTGCATGAGGCCTTTGCTGTGCAGGAAGTCGACAGCTTCAGCAATCTGGACAAAGATGTCGAGACACTGGCTGAGCTCCCTCTGATCTGGGAGGCAGCGCTGGGACATCCAGTCCTTGAGGTTTTCCTTTCGGCACAACTGCATTTGAATGTACAGGTACACCTGCAGACAGACGACAAGCTCAGACACAGGGAAGATCACTACTGCAAAAGAAGGGAACCTGTGACTTTGTAATAATACAATCCAAATAATCACTTCCATCCTTTGAATTGATATAATGAAAACATTTACTATGTGGTTGAATGATGTAGTAATATTAAAAGTCAAAAGTAGGGTTTCCCTTGAACAGATTGAAAATTGTTGGCCCCATACTGCAAGAAACGGAACAAAATATGTAAAACGTTTTGTTTTATCACACTATAAAACGTTTGTGTTATATTAGCGAAGTGAATACGAAACAACAATGTTTACTTGACTCTGTTGGGGGTAAATAAGTAATGCCTGTGTTGCTATAGTATTCAATAAAACAATATGCGGAAAGTGTACAAAGAAAGAGTGGGCAGACCCAGTACCTTTGGTGAGGGCTGAGTGCGCTGCATGGTCTGAGGCGGGGGCAGAGCCAGCGTGAGTGGCCGTGGTGAAGAGGAGAACAATGGCAGGGCGTCCCGTTGCTTCGTGGATGAGGCTTTGCTGTTTTTGGTGGTTTGAGGACTTGTGACTCCAGACGCAGAGTCCGTTTCACCATCTGCGTCCCGATCGCAGCCCGAGTCCTCGAACACTATGTCAAAGGAAGAGGAGGTGCAGTCTGCGGGGGCCCGGGGGGGGCACATCTCAAAGGAGTGAGGTGTGTCCGAAGCCTCCGGGTCGGCCTGACTGTCCCGCTCTGACATGAGGCTGTCCTGTCCCAGCAAAGGGTGGAAGGACAGGTCACTCTCGTCCCCCCCGAAGCCCACACCGGCACCTGTGCTACTAGACAGGAGACCCCTCGCATCCACCGACACCTCCAGGCCGTCTCCCCCGTGACCAGAGGCCTGTGTCACAGGGCTAGACACAGGGACTTTGACCGACAGCGCCTCCATGTGCTCCACAAAGCTCATAGGCCAATCCGTAACACTGCAAAAAAGTGGAGTGAAAGTGGAGTGAAATTAATTAACGTTTGAACTATTACAGCTGTAAGGAGACATTCACTATATGACCTAGGCCTGAGCAGATTGGCTTGTACAGCTTCAACCCACAAAATGCTTCTCTATTATTGTGAATGTGAATACTAACAATGTACCAAATACGTTTGTGAATTCAAACAATCTATTTCACAAATTCAGGTAGAACAGCAGTTGCAACTGACTTTTTTCCCCCGCTTGATTTTTTTGTGTGGAACAAGATTAGTTTGGTCCCGTTACAGAGATCTGTTGTAATAGCAGCTCTCTGTTGTCAAATTCGGTTTAGTCATGAATATAACTACATTGCATTTTATTATCAGAGAAGAGGAAGAGCACAGTTAGCCTGATAGCTGTTATCTTTTGACAGCTCAACTAGCTCTGGATGGCGCAAATGTGGAATAACTTCAGGCTCCCACAAACAGTGATATATTAAGTGGTTCTAGTGTTCTAGTGTTCCAAGGCAGTACAAATCAGGGAAAGTGCCGTTAAGTGAATTGAGACAGCCTAATTTAACAAGGGCAAAAGCAGTTCACCGCTCAAAATGATAAGATATGATTTCCACATCAAACAAGCCCTTCTTTTTCTAAAGCGGATGTGTCTTTTCACAAAACCCTCAGATCCATTTCTCACTGTTTGCACTGATCCCCCCGCTGAGCTCCGGAGGACAGGAGCTTTAGGGGGCTCACCTGGCGTCTTTGAGCCAGCGCTGGTCCATCTCCTCCTGCCAGCCTTCAGGGGGACTCTCCTGCCAGGCGTTGAAGTAGCGGATGATCCCCGGGTGCTCCAGCTTGGCCAGGGCCTTCACCTCTCTCATCACCTTCTCACGTGCCTGCTCCCTGCACCACGGTTAAAAACAAATCTTTAAAGGCAGTCCTTGAGATTACATAAAAAAAAACAATTCAATTTAATATACATTTTTAGTAATGTTAACTTAACTCTGCTTTACACATATGACCATCAAAGCACAGGCACAACTTTTGTATTACTTTAGCCCAAAGAAAAGTGTACAAAAAAAGATCTCAGCATGTGATTCTACAGTGACTGGGTGAGTCTCCTTTGAAACTGTTTGAAACCATGATTTAGAAAAAAAAAAATGTTTCACAGAATCTTAATTTAAGAGCTCCAAAAATACAGTGATCAGATCAGAACAGGCCCCATTACTCTCACTAACAATGACATTCAATTAGGAAATGTCTATAGACCAAAGGCTCATTGATGAGTAATTAAACATCTATTTTCTGGTGCTCTGCGTGAGTCACCCCCCACGCTACTGGAGTGTGAAGAAAACTGCATGTGGATCTTCCGCAGCTTCGCGCTCATTTCTCATGGCTGTCATAATGAATAAACACACACCACTGGCATCTTTTTAGCATTCGTGTTTAGATAACTAGATAACTCCTATTAGCATCACTTAGCCAGTCACAATAAACGATAGGAAAGCCTGGAGCTATAGCACCATGCTGGGATAGACTTTTTTTACCTGCTGGGCAATCGTATTCTTTTGATGGCGTAGTCGCAGTCGTCCACCTTGTTGCGAGCCTCAAACACAACACCAAACCCCCCACGGCCCAGACACTGAACAGGCTCGAAATCTGTCAGATACCTGCAGAGAGAGAGAGACAGTTCATTAAGGCCTGAAGACAAATGGAGCTGCTCTCAATGTCAAAAAGGTGTGTGTGGAAAAAGTGTGTTACGGCAAAAGAAAAAGTTTGGGTAATTGTGCGAAAGTGGGTTGAGAACAATTGGGGAGTGCACTCAGTGTGTCCTGGGAGTTACGTCTCAAAAAGTGACCAGCAGAAAGTAGGGCAGGGAAAGTCACGCAGAGAGGTCCATTTGTCTTGTAATCTCAGAAAGTGCACTACTATGAATACTGAATTTGTCTCAACAGGGATTGTACTTAAATGGGAACTCGTTTGCAACTCATGGTAAGAGAGGGAATTCATTTGTTGCATCTTTTTGTAGATGGGATTCCAGACCAAATAGCAGTCTAATGTACACAAGTTAGCATTAGAAGAAGCTAACATTTGCACATAGTATTTACATTACTACTACTATTCATAGCATTATAACACTAGCAGGACCCATTTTTTCTAATTGTGTACCCAATCCTGGATTCTAAAAATATTTTTTGTGAGATTGTGTGAGATTACTCCGGTTCACCCAAACCCTTTTCAAACTTGTATGTGAATTTGAGCAGGTTTGAAAAAAATATTGATCCATCCATCAAACTACCACCTTTAGTAACTGAATCAATAAAATAAATCAAGTTAATATTGGCTATCTAGTGAGAATATTTGTTAAGATAAGAGATCCTGTACTCGTTCCACAGTGGGGAAATTTCAATGTTGCAGCGCACACACAGACAGTAGTAAGAGCACACAGGGAGTACACAAAGTAAGGGTAGGGTTAGGTAGCTGTAAATGCTTTAATACCAGTCTCTCAAAATAATATATATATATTAAATATGTAGTGCTGAGTTTTTTGGCTAGGTTTTAATGTATGCATTGCGCCAAAAATGCAAAGAAATAACTACAATAACTGTTCATGTCAAAGCAGTTTTTTTCTGTTATCTCTGGGAGCACCTGTTATCTCGCTGTGAGCTGCACATAATTAAGAGTCTAGCTCCAACCCACAGAGCCTCTTATGGGCAAAGCGAGGCAGTGTATGAAGAAAACCGTGAATGCATGTGATTGGGCTTAAGCTCCTGATCTGAATCTTATTTTAATGAGTAGTTTCCCCTGGCTTCAAAAACTGCCAGTTGATTTATGCAGGGAACTTTTCTAGCAAAGCAATCATACATGTGGCCCAGTGCAGGGCGGGAAGCTTGTCATTCCAGGCAAAATCAAATGCAGGAAGTAAAATCTTGTGACAGTTTGTAAGAAAAAAGTGCAGTTTAATCAGATTTCTCCTGGAGTTTGGAAAGGTAACGCCATTTTATTGATGTAGAAAATGCAAATGGCATCGATCAGACTTGAGGCAGGCAGTGGCAGCCCATAAATTATGTCCAGTGATCATATTTAGGATGTCCAGGGTAACAAAAAGCTTGTGACAATGTGCTGACAGTGATGTAAAGGGACGCACTGACCCTGTGGCAGATGTTATGCTACTGGACGAGCAGAAGGAGGCGGAGGAGGGGGGGGGGGGGGCGTACCGTGGACCAAGGTCGTCTTGCATTTGATAAAAACTAAAGGAGTTATCCAATCATAGTCTGCTGCTGAGGCGTCATAAGTCTCTGCCCAGTTCTATAGGTCGAGTTCTAAGGCAATAAATGGTGGACATAAGTTTAGTCAAAGTTTCAATCTGTGTGTCCATGGAATAAACCTAAAACGTTTTGTGACAGGGCAATAATCCCCAAAAGGCCAATATAAATAAAATGGATTTGGATTTGATAATATCCCTCAATATGTAAAAGATAAATAATACATTTTTTATTGCCTGTTCACGGCACAGAAAGGAACCCTTCACACACACACACATGTACATACAGTATCTATTCGAGGACACACCAGAGCTGTCCATCTGCCCACTCAACCAATAATGTTTGTCTGGAGCAGGATTCCATCTTCAGCCTTCAGCTCAGAGGACATACTCTATCCACCAGTGTAAATTTAAATCTTTAAATTTAATCTTCCATAAACTCTAAACATAATTTAATCTCAGAAAATAAAACACTACCAATAAGGAAGAGGAGCAGTCACCATGGTAACAGCCCAGTCTCTAATGCTACACATGTAAAAGCCGGAGACTCCCGTGGGACGCCCCGCTGTGGAGCAGACAGAGCTGTGGTGCCCCTCTGTTTTCTCCTGAGTCACCAGGTCTTTACACCTGTTCTTAATGATGTACCTTGATACGTATTCACTGGATTTGGTTTCCACAGCAACGGTCTCTTTGGTCTCCACCACTTCAAGGTCAAACTTTGAGTCCGTCTGGCACTGGGTCTCCGACTCTTTGCGTTGCTTTGGGGAAAGACAGAAATAACTTTGAGATCCTTGGTACTTCAATATTTAACATAATACACTTTCACTTTACATTGATCCAATCTGGTGAAAACTTCATGCAAAACTGCACTGTTTCTAAGGATTGCACTGTCATTATTATGGCCTTGGAACAACTTTAAAAAGAAAATGTTATAACCAATACTTTTCCAATTCAGGGAATGTTTGTTCAGGTTTAAAATATAAAAACAGTAAGGGATGCTAAATAATATATTCAATAGAACCTTTACCTTTCTATTATTAATATGAGAAGATTTATTAGTAAGTTGGTTATTAAAAAGTCCCGTTTAAGTGCAGGAATGAAAAAACCAGAACACCCACAGCAAGGGCCATTCACATAATTATTAGTCCCAGAACATTCCCTGAACACGTCCCAGCATATGTTAGAATGTTACAGCAATTTACCAGGAAATTGCCAGAACAAAAAATGCAGGGAATCAGTTCTGGCATCAGTTGTGGCCGTTTTCACACCAGTCCAGGGAAAATAATGAGGAAACAAGATTTGTGAATGGGCCTCATGACTTCTAACTGATTGAGACCCTTACCCGGACACTGACGGTGGGGGCAGGGGGGTGGAAGAACTTGCGTACGATGTAAGTGGTGGCGGCAATGCAGAAGATGATGGTGCCGATGATCTCTTTCCACCAGGGCAGCAGCAGCACGGGATCCTTACGGCGGCGAGTCTCTGACCCTGCCCCTCTGCCCTCGATCAGGCTCACTGCGCTCTCTCGCTTCTCCCGGTAACGCTTACTGAACGGGAAGTAGTAGCCATTGTCTGCAGAGGAGAGGAACATTTAAAAAGGGGAGATCCGAAAAATGCATTTTATTTTTTGATTTGGTACATTTCTGACCATGGGACAATGTACTTATAGGTAATAATTTGCTCAACAATAATATACTTAAAACAGGCCTTCCCCTTGGCATAACTATGACCAGTAAGATTTGCTGGATGAGAACCGTTAAACCCAGACGAGGGGTAGGAGGCCTAACCAGAGGAACTTTCCTTCAAAAAGTCTCTTTTCATATTTGAATAGTAACAGACTTCCACTTTAAGGAAGGGGTAAATAAGAATAGAAACGTTTAATTTTACTACATTGTGATCTATAACTATTGTTATTGGTAGCGACCAAATTTATATACTTGTATAGACAGATTAAATAGTGAGCTGAATAATCACAATCATTGACAAGTCTGTAGTCCCTCATTTACAATAATTGGTACATCTCGACATGCCTACTACCACCACTCTCACAGTTACAGTCCAGCCTTTGTTTGGGATAGGTACAGTAGGAGATCCTTACCATATGGATACTGCAGAATGGACAGCCCGCCGTTGCTGTATTCATCGTGGGAAAACTTGTCGTTTGTCAAACACTTGTCAAACTCATCTGAACCGACAAGTGCAGGTGTCCGCGACGGAGAATCTGTGTCAAGGACAGGATGAAACGGCTCTGGTTTAGAGGCTGGATCAATAAAATGCTATGCGGGATTGAAGCTATGGTGACAATGACTTACGGATCAGTGGCTTCCATTTGACAGTGGGGAGAGGAGCAATGTCATTTTCTGACGCTATGGCTTTGGAGGGGAACTTGTCAGTGATAGTCACTGAGGAATGAAGGTAGTACTGTCCTCGGTACATCCCTGGAAATTACGTACATAGCATTAATTCAGCGTTTAGTTCTGTGAATGAATTTGAGTGGTTAGCTAGCATGACTGTAATATTGTTACTATGTATGATTAGAAGTCAACAACATTACAGTAAAGTAGAAAGCACAGATATAAGTAAATGAGTTATCTGTATGGTTGTTGAGTTATTGATTACTTGAATGACTAAGTCAGAATGCAAGTCATACCTAGGTAAACACTGGATTCGGTTTCTCCGCTTTTGCCATCTTCATTATTGTCATCCTCTTGGGTCTCCGAGCGGCCGCTGTAGCTGGTGTCATCAAACAGACTGATGGGTGTGACCGTGCCCCCTCCCACCAGCCAGGCCGAGGCGATGGGGGTACAGAACTGCAACAAGACATGAGTATTCTCTGCGTTATGCCATAGTTTTCTCTGAGTGAAGAAGCATTGAAATTATTGAAGCATTTTCACCACTTTATACAAGTTTTTCCAAGATGAATACCCCAAACAATTGAGTAGGAACTTATGGGTAAAGTTAAGTTGTAGTTTTGAATCTTATTTCAAAGTGTCTTGCAACTAGACAGGAATGCCTTAAAACCAGTCAACTATTATAGGTTAAATAAGCAAATAAATATATATTAAAGTACATTAATAGAGAAAATTAACCTGAATTCAAGTATGTTTAAGTGCGACAGATTCACAAGCATTACAATTTAGCAGTGCAGTCATATTTTTTGGAAAGATAACTTTTACCAAGAACCAAGTACAAATACAAATATTTTACAAAATTCACTGGCCAACACTTTTCCTGCCCGCGCTCACCTGATGCTCCCACACCAACGCTCCATTCGGCTCAGGGCTAAAGGCCATCACCTTCCAGTCGGACACTGAAACTTTGATGACCAGGTCCAGGTTCTGCTGTGATCCACCCGGCTGCTCCGCACTGCTGGGTTCGTCCATGATGAACTTTGGAGACTCCTTCCACGTTTCACCGTCGCCCTCCAGGAAGTTCATCCCCGACTGATCTTCTGGGACCAACTTCAGCTCAAAGTTTCCCACGCTGAAATTCCACCTGGAGTGAAAAAAGGCATGATTGATTACATTTAACTTTTTTAAATACCAAACAGGGCTATTACTATTACTTAGTTCAAGATGGACATATAGACTACAAAGTGAATGAAAGTTGTACTCTATAACCTCAATGTGGTTGTTGTACCTTTCATGTCAAGTATTACTGTAGGTCCACCATCTGATTGTTTCCATGGAAATGAAATTGCTTTGGCTGGTTAATCTTGAATTTAAATAGAAGATGTAAAAAAAAAAAAAAAAAAAAAAAAATTGTTCATGGGGTAGCCTCTCCACAGATGTGGCCTTTGAAATAGGGGTATTGCAAGCTTGCCATGGAGATAGACAAGTATAGTGTCATGATACCACACTACTTTCACTATCAGACAAGCAGGTGGTCTGTAGAAAAGTTACATTTCGGCCATCAGTTTAGTGCATCATGAACTGTAATATCTCAACGTTTCTTGTAATAATCGTGGCCTTAAATCTGACACTGTGACATCCCCGGAGTAAGTCTCGCCAGTATTAAAGCCATAACACTTACTGGTAATGGCATTCGCTTTATAACCATAGCACAAAGTCAATAGGGTCTGTGTGCAGTGACTGATGAGCTGTGACAGAGTGATTGAATAAAACTCACTTCTCGGTGCCTGACCGCGGCCTGATGGCTCGCACAGTCTTCTGGGTCCTCTGCAGCAGAAGCACGTCTTCTGCCTCCACCTCCTCTTCTCCCCAACGACTGCAGCCCACAGCCGAGCAGATGTATCGGATCTGAGGAGGAACTTTAGTCATTTCAACTATACATTTAGTGTAACCGTTAGAGTAATGTGAGCTGTGGTCAAGTGTTAGGTTTGCTAGTTAGTCTTTGCTTGACAGTTCTTAAAAAAAAAACTGTTGGGTGTGTAATATGTGCAAAAAATGGTAATTATTCATTATCAAATTAAATTAGTCAAATGTATAGCATTGTTTTATAGCAAGTGTGTAAAAGTACCTGCTGATAAAATACTTTTCTAATGCTATATTTTTCTGTGATCAAGAATTCAAACGACCCTACAACAAGTTAACAAAGTAGAACATATGTATGCAAATTTAAGATGGGACGGATGTCTTGGCAGAAGTTAGTTGTACTACTATTGTGGTACTGTCTTAACTTCTTTCAACTATGTGTGAAATACACAAACGGAATTAAAGACCTTCAGACTTTTATTATATATCGGACAAAAACATCGCACATGAGGTTCCTCTGACCTTGCCACTGAACGCTCCGAGGCCGTAGGTGGTGAGAGACTTCCCCCCGACCAGCACCGTGTCGTCCCCAATACGGTAGGACGACTCCAGCAGAGACTCCACGCTGAAGGGCACCGCCTCCATCAGCTCTCGGTCCCGGTTCCACTGAAACAAGGCCCCATCCAGAGACGGGATCACCATCTTATTGCCGAACACCTGCACACAAGACACAGTTCAATGGAGATGACACATTACCATTGATTTATTCAGAAAATCAAAGGCCTATAGAGCAGGGAAAGCTGTTAATCAATAACTCAATGCAAAGATTAGCATATATATTGTGATTCCTATACAACAAATGACCTCCCTTTGCTTTCATAATAATGGACTCTGTTGGTAAAATGTCTCACCAAGGTACAAAATGAAAGTTCATACCAACTCAATGCAAATCATTAATTCAATATCTAAATACGCATCAAATGTAAAAAAAAAGTGATATTAACAGCCTATCACAACTATCAAATATTGTAAATAATAAAAAATAGGTAGTTGAAACCAACCATTAGTTTGACAAATAGATGAATCCATCAATTATTCCATCATTGAATTAATTAGTTGTGCAGGAAAAAATTTATTCAAGCCAATAGGACATTCTTTTAGTAAATATTTCAAGACAAAAATATTGTAAAAATTATATTGAACATTATATTTAACTTGTTGGTAATTACAGCTCTGTTTGAATCTTAAATCCCATCTCACAGCACATAAGCACAGAGCCGTTAACGATTAATCGTTCATTATGATAGTTGTTCAGTATTGAAAAACGTATTAATTGTTACAGCCTTAATAGGGCACTGTCCGGTTTCCGAAATGTGCTAAAAATAGCTCAGATGACTGCGCATGCGCGCATGTTTCGGACAAACATTGTGTACGACTCGTTGAGTTCTACTGTGTTCTCCTCATACGCGTGTGTATTTATTTGGGCTAAATCATTGAATCATGGTGACAACAAAACACTGCAGTTATGGTGCTTGTCGGAGCGATTTCAGATACTCTGAAAAGGACTATATGAAAGTAACATTCAACCCGTTCGTTAAACCACAACATCGGACCAGACCAGGACCAGACCAGGACCAGATCAGACCAGGTGGGTGCTTGTGGTCGGCAGAATTTCTCTCATGAAAAGGTTAAAAAGGGCACATGTTTTTTCAAAACACTTCGCTGGACCAACTGTGGAGCCTCCAGATCCAGTCCTAGCTACGTTTAGCTGGGACTGGATCTGGACCGCTGTATCAGGTCCGTCTGAGCTCTTCTGAATGTAGTTAGCACAAACTTTCTCTTTACACCATTTACCCCCATCAATCCATATTAGTATTGTTTGTCCTAATCCAGAAAGTATACAATTCTCACACCTGAAGAAAGATGAGAGGGATTTTTTTCAACTTTGTGTCTGCTTATTATACGGCTTTGTACCAATTGAACACACAAAATAAACGTCATTCACTACTCATGCCGAAAGGTTTATTTAATGAGTGCAAAGAAAATAGTTCCCAAAGGTTTTCCCGTGGCAGGCGAGTAACAGTGAGGATAGTTAACCTAAAAGCGATCGCTTTAGTCGCATTAAAAAAGTATTTTTGTCATGAAAACCTGAACAGTTAATTCTGAAAACCTCCGTGCACTTGTGTTATGAATGTGTATAATGTATTCTCCCATTAACATTTAAATGTGTTGATTGATTGTCATTTGCGTTTACTGAGTGTGGCTAGCTCTGATAGTTTCTCTCAGAGACAGTGGCGTAACCCGTTGTGATCATGGATTTATTATAATATCAGCTGACTGTAGCTAACTAATGATCAAACTAATTACAAAGTGGATAGTGCAAAAACAACTTGATAAATGGAAGTTAATCACAGCAAAACAAACAAAGAAGGCGCTAGCATTGCAATTTAAATGACTAGATAATGTTAGCATAATCCTCACCATTATCTTTTTATCAATTCAAACCGTCTACCAGTTACTGGAAGACCACGACATTCAAGCCAACGTTATAATTGGTCTACACTATGATCCCTGATGGTTTGATGGTGGAATTTTGCCCCTGGTATATCATTTTCGTCTAAAGTGACAAGTGGTATTTGATTCATTTCGGCAGTGTTTGTCCGAAACATGTGGGCGGGAGTTGACAGGCGGCGGGGGCGTGTCTTAGTGACGTCATTTAGATAGTTCGCTTATATGCGAGTACATTTTCAAAATACTTTCAATACTTATAAGGCTAATTTTGTTTTGGAGTAAAGGGGCAAAAAAACTGCCTATCCAGGTGTAGATGTCTGGTCAAATTGTCCAACAAGAAAAAAAAATTCTGGACACAAAACAAAACACAAAACAATGCCATTTATAAATATTTTGGGCCCAAAATCAGTGGCACTTTATGCATCACTTCTAACAAACTGCTGTACAAGTGAAAGTTTCAAAAACATCTTGAGTTTTCAATTTCCAAAATGCCCGGAGCGCCGACACAGAAACAAAGATCGACACGCGACGTCAGCCTGGAGACACTTGGACTCAATCCACGGGCCATTACACAACCAAGAGCCTAAGTAATTAACCTGGATCTGAGGAAAGTGAGCGACTGTGGATAATGTCCCTGTTCAGGATGAGATCACCACAGTTATAATCCACATTTAACCTGCACAGCTCTGCCAGCACTATGGGATCTTTAGATAATTGTTTTTTTTTTTTATATTGAGAAGTTGGCCACGGCAAGAATGACATTTAAGACGTATGCGGTGTTGTGACTCATTTGGCATCAATAGTGAAGGATTGTGTAACATTGTTTTACCACTTTAGTCGTTTGTCAATGAAGTCACAAAGATAATGGACAATCACAATTATTCCCACTAAAATAAGATTCCTACTTTAATGAATAATATATGCAAATACTAGACAAATCAAGCACTGTATGAGATTCGGCAATATTCAAATCAAGTAGAGGCCATAAATCAAGATTGAATATGCTCGCTTGTTTTATTTGCACGTCTGCTTCATCATTTATTTTGACAAGCAAATGTAATAAAATATGTCGCACCAAATCCCATGGCAATATTACAACACGAGCATGTCTTTGAATTGTCAACTCACAGGTCATAAATCTAAATTTGAGATTTGTATTTTGGACTATGTGCTACCTGTTCCCCATCCAAACATTATATCTCATTAGACTTTAAAGTAAGTACAGGTCAGCGGCTGAGCTAAAACCATGTGTCAGAAAGTGATTTACAGCCAGGAGCAGAGGTGATGTCATCCCGGCAGAAACAAGAGGCCGGAGACAGGACCAAGATAAATTTAGCCATGAATTGAAAAGAGCGACGGGAGGAGGGGGAGATTGGGGAGTATCCAGCCTGACCATCACACCATGAGCGGGAGGAGGAGGAGGAAGGGGGTAGAGGGATTTAAACAAGTGAGTCATGAAGCTCTCAATGGCTTAATCTCCCTCAGCCTCATTGACACTAGCCTCAACATATCACAGTAATGTTTGTTCTCTACAGATTATAGCAGATTATGAGCTCTGTAATGTATAAGGTCCTGTGACGAGGGCCTTCAGGCTTTTGTATCATTTGTTATTGAGAGTTAATCTCAAGTTAGAAATTGTGTAGTGGCTTGTTTTCATAAATTTGATCGTAGGGTTGACAAAGGTATCAAACCTTGAATACTAAAACTAGTGTTAAATGAAGAGGACATAATGTGAGATTCAGTGAGTGGTTTATTTTTATCTAAATCAGAACTAGTCTAAAACGTCCTACCATTAAAAAGTACAATCGTGCTAATAACAATAATGATAGAAATATCTGCTGTATAGAAGCTAGCTTTTTGGGTATTTTTGTCTTTTGTTAAAATTTAAAAATGTTAAGTTAAAATATGTTTTTTTTGTAATTTTGATGTTGATGTTTACATATCTAAAGAGAAAACTGAAAAAAAGTGCCAATGATATAATCAATATATTATAATGCTGTTATGAAGAATTCAAGCAGGGAGGGGGAAAATAAAAGCTCATACCAAACATTTTAAAAAGTTTAGTTAGTCAAACTCAAGGCTACTAGAGATGTCTGGTGAATTATTGAACCTGGAGAAAAAATCATTATATTTGAGCCAGGAGTGTTTGGAGGGCGCCTGTAGTGAGTTTTGTGGCTGAGGTGGACGGTTCACTTTGATATCGCTCCTGACAGCTCGTAAATGATAAAACAGCCCGTCCATGAGTGGAGCAATAAGTAGGGAGAATTACCTTCAGCAGCGAGAAGGGGCAGTTAAGGAGGAGGGCAGATAAAAACAGATAGATCAGAACATTAAGCGGTTCCCAACCTTTTTCAGCCTGTGCACAATTTTGCCAGAGTAGACAGGGCACAGTGACTTTGTTATTAAGGAGAAAACACTCCAAGGATCAAACTGGTCAGGGGAACAATTTTGTTGGCTTGTATCACACAGTCGTCGCAGTTTTATTTGTACATCTCAATCTTTTGCATTAGTTTCAATAAAATGTTATCTGTTTGCATTATAACCAAATTATTGTCTTTATCTAATATAAAATTAGTCCATGCTTGAATTGAACCAAAACCAATTATTATTGCTAAATTTTAGTATGGGTTCAATGTTTAAAATATGATAAACTATATGGTTGTTTTCTTGAGAGAAGCATAATCGTAATGATGTATAACATGCAATATAAGCCCATATCAACCTCATACTATCAATGTTTGCAAAAAAATCATTCTGAGTACCCCTTGAAATCAAAGGTATGTACCCCCAGTTATCCCCATCCCTATAAAAGACAAACACTAAGAAAATATTTGATACAATCGTACAAATTGAGCAATTAGTGAAATGTAATACAATGTACAGTAAAAGCCATAAGCTACGGGGCAGCACACAAATAGGTTCTCTCTCCCCATAGTTATACGTGATAAACTGTAAATGATGCACAGGCCCAACACATTTGATCAAGATTCCCAAAACAAGTACGCTGCATACGTTTTGATCAAAACATGTTTTCCTTCACATCATATACTTAATTGACCAATAAAACATATCAGAATCCCATAAACAATGCCTATATATAGACGTGTGTAACAAAGTGGGAATTAAATTAGGTTATGGGAGAACAAAACATCTTTAAGTGTCAGGCTGTTAATGGTATGGAGCCCCGAGTTCAGAGGAAACCGCGC